TGCCTGCGCGCGCGTTTTCGCGATGCTGGAGCGCTGTTGCTGTTGCTGTTGCTGTTGCTGTCGCCGTTGCTGTTTTGTGGTTGTTTTTCTTCGGGCGTTCTTCCCGAAAGCATGGCGAAGGGCTCTTCCGCTGGATTCACTTGAGCTGTTCTCAGGAGAGTCATTACAAGGTGGCTTGCAAGGAATCATCATCATGAGTCATTGCAAGGAGTCATTGCAAGGAGTCATTGCAAGGAGTCATTACGAGGAGTCATTGCAAGGAGTCATTGCAAGGAGTCATTACGAGGAGTCATTGCAAGGAGTCATTGCGAGGAGTCATTGCAAGGAGTCATTGCAAGGAGTCATTGCAAGTTGCAAGTGCAAGGAGTTAAGTGCAAGTTGAGCCAAGTGCAAGTTGCAAGTGCATGGAGCCAAGTGCAGGTTGCAAGTGCGTGGAGCCAAGTGCAAGTTGCAAGTGCATGGAGCCAAGTGCATGGAGCCAAGTCCAGGTTGCAAGTGCATGGAGCCAAGTGCAAAGATGCAAGTCCACGGAGTCAAGTGCAAGTTGCAAGTGCAAGGAGTCAATTGCAACTGACTTGCGAGGAGTCAAAATCTCTTCTAGGGGCGGCGGGGTAGTGCCGACGACACTCTACGAAAATCGGCCCTCTGCGGGGATTGGCGTGGCCGAGGTGCAAAAACTCGTATATTTGTGCGATTTTGTTTTGGTTCGCGCGACCCTCTGCGGGGATCGGCGTGGTCGAGGTGCAAAAACCCGAGACCCTCTGCGGGGATCGGCGTGGTCGAGGTGCAAAAACTCGAGGTTTTTTGCGTTGTTGTTTTGGCCCGCACGACCCTCTGCGGGGATCGGCGTGGTCGAGGTGCAAAAACCCAAGGTTTTTTAGCGGGTTTTTATAATCTTTGCGGGGATCGGCATGGTCGAGGTGCAAAAACTCAGGGGTGTTTTTTGCGTCTTTTGTTGTCTCGCGGTTCGCGCGCCTGCCCCGGGGCCGGCTGGTCGCGGGTTCGATTCCCCCTGGTCCGCGGGCGGGCTTTGCGAGCTGCACGGAGCAACTTGCATAGAGCAACTTGCGCGCAAGTTGCGCAGACCATTTTTTGCGCGGAGCAACTTGCGCAAAGCAACTTGCCGCCGCGCGGGCCCGCTCGAGCGCGCCGTCGCCCGGGTTTGTCGCGAGGCTGGCGGGTAGCGACGAACGTTTTCCTTGGCGACCTCAACCTCGGCATGCCGTTGTCCGACGGGCGACGGCTCGAGGTTGTCGCGTGCGGCGCGATGGGACCAACCGACCCCGCGCCGACGCCGAGCCCGGCCTCGCCCTGCGGGAGGCAACAGGCCACAAGCGCCGGAGCACCTACCCGGAGTTCCGGGGCGCGGCGCGGCGCCGCCTCGTTGTCGTTGCCCTCGAGGTTGGGGGGCGCTGGGGGGACGAGACGGAAGCCTTCCTGCACCGCCTCGCGAGGGGCAAGGCCCTTGCCAGCCCCGAAGACCAGCGCGGAAAGGTTGCCGCCGCGCACGTGTGCCGGTGGGGGCAGTTGCTGGCTGTCGCGGCGCAGGGCGCGCTCGCGGCCAGCCTCAGCTCGCTTCGTCCCGACGCTGGCGACGCCGCTGCCGGGGCGCCGCCGCGGGGCGACGTCATCTGCGACGCCCGGGCCCTTGTGTTTCACCCCGGCTGGATGGAAAAAGGCGCGTGAGGAAAAAAACAGTTTGCGCAGGGCCTAGAGAAACTTGCACGCACAGCAACCCGCGCAGAGCAACTTGCGCAAAGCAACTTGCACAGAGCAACTTCCACAGAGCAACTTGCGCGGAGCTATTTACCCGGGAGCCTGCACGGAGCAACTTGCGCGGAGCAACTCGCACAGAGCAACTTGCACAGAGCAACTTGCGCAGAGCAACTTGCGCAGACCAACTTGCACCGACCAGTTTGCAGAGCACCTTGCCCAGAGCAACTTGCGCAGAGCAACTTGCGCAGAGCAACTTGCACACACAGCAACTTGCACAGAGCAACTTGCGCAAAGCAATTTGCAAGGAGCAACTTGCACGGAGCAATTTGCACAGAGCAACTTGCAGGGAACCACTTGCACAGACCAGTTTGCGCAGAGCACCTTGCCCGGAGCAACTTGCCCAGAGCAACTTGCCCAGAGCAACTTGCACACACTGCAACTTGCACAGACAAACTTGCGCAAAGCAATTTGCAAGGAGCAACTTGCACGGAGTAATTTGCACAGAGCAACTTGCAGGGAACCACTTGCAGGGACCAACTTGCACGGAGCAACTTGCGCGGAGCAACTTGCACAGACCAACTTGCACAGACCACTTTGCGCAGAGCAACTTGCCCGGAGCAACTTGCCCAGAGCAACTTGCACACACTGCAACTTGCACAGGGCAACTTGCGCAAAGCAACTTGCGCATGTCCCAGGCGTTGGGCCGACCTCGCTTGCGATGTTATGTTTTCGGGCCAACCATGGTCCAGTGTTTTTTTTTGTGTTTGTTTTGTGGCCGGCCTCCGGGGAGCGACCCTGCGCTATCGCCCTCCAACTTCGAGGGCCAGCATCGTCCTCTGGCTCGCTGGAACTCCGCGTAGGTTACCCGGTGATTGCGCTCGGCCGCGGCCCGCCAGGCGAGGCCGGGCTCAAGGTCGGCGCGAGGCCGGCGGCAGATGCGCGCCGCAGCGGGTTCCAGGGGGCCAGCGCGGCGGACAGTGGTCAGCCACGAGGTCAGCGGTGGTCACCCGGGCCCCAGCTTCACGGCACGCCCGGGACTCTGCACCACACCCGCCCGAGAAGCCGGAGGCGCCGAAGAAGGACAATCCGGAAAAGGTGTGAGGAAACGGTGAGCGCAAGGCTGGTCGGGAGAGCGGTCAGAACACGGGCCAGCGAAGGGCACCTGTTGCGACTCCAGCAGCGCCAGCGCTGAAGAGTCCAGCGCAGGAACCGGTCCTGGAAGAGACGGTCTTCCAAAGCCGCCGTGGCTCGCCGCTGCCGCCACGGGCTGCGTCACCGCTGAGAACAGATTGTCAGCGTCGTCAGGGTGCGGCTGGCAAGGCGCCAGCCAGAACATCTTGCCAAGAAGGGGGCTCCCAGCTGAGGTCCGCCAAGGCTAGGGCCGTCGCGGCTGCAGCACGCAAGGAGGGGGCGCAGGCCTCAGGAAGGCTGCAGGACCGCGCAAAGCAGCGAGGGCGCGTGCCTTTCGAAAACAGGCAAGCTGTCAGCCCAAGACGCCAAATACGCAGCGGGCGCGACGGCGGCCGTAGGGCGCAGACCGAGACCACCAAGCCGAAGAGGCAACCTTGCAACGCCCAACCCCTGTGCGGGCAACGGGCCTGCCTGAAGCAGTGTGGACAAGCAGTCCCCAACAGCAAGGTTATGGACAGCGGCGAACTCTGCCGTGGACTCCTGTGGGAGCAAACGCAATTCATGGGCGAATTTCTGTGCGCAAAAGCTGGAGGTCAGCTTTTTGGTCAAGCAGCACCCACAAATGCTCGAACGGGCAAGTGCGGCAGGCTCCTTGCCGAAGGCGCAGTCCACGCAATCGAAACAGGGGCGTGCAGAAACACAGAGCATTTGAGACAAATTGAAATGACTCATGGAAGAAGGAAAGAAGGTGGGTAAGAAGGAGTCCTTACTCTTTCCCGTCAGAATGGTACGGATTCTTGCAGGGCTTCTCTTCATCTCCTATCCATCTCTGTCTCACCGTACAAATTCCTGAGATTAAAGATGAAAGAGATCCACAAATGAAAGACAAGGATGATGATTCCTTCCTTTTGTGAGCCTCAGCATCTCCTCTCCTGGCCAATTCCCTGAAGCATCTGTTTCTCTGTCTTCTCTTTTTCCTTCGTGTCTTCCTCCTTAGAATCTCAACTCGAAGATGTCCATTGTGATGATGTCTAGGATGATGAGCAAATAAAATGCTGACTTCTGGATTATGTTCTAACTGTTATCGTCTTATCCATGCCTTTCCATTCAAGAGACATTGTGTAAGGAATAGCAACATGTAGACTCCTCATGTTCTTCTTCTTAGTAATCTAATTGCTACTGCTAACTAAGCTTGAACAAATGTTGATTGCATACTTCCTTCTCCAATCCTTTCCTTTCCATACTGATCTCATGGAAGAAGTAAGATACAAACACACTGTTGCCACCACCAAATTCTGGCAAGACGGAAACGCCCGTCTCGCGATCGAAGCCACGAAGCCACAAGGACGCTGCTCGCTGTTGGATGGCTCAGAGATGAAGACCTGGCTGCGAACTCCATTTCGCACCACTTGGGAAAAAATGGTTGAAACCATGGCTTGTTGGCATTCAGAGGGAAAAGATCAGAAAATTCTAGGGGTTCTTAGGTGACGCGAAATGGATTCCGTCCATCCACAGTACGGAGAAGACTTTCGGCTTCGCAGAAGGCCGCACGCGCCGGGGTCCCGTTCCGAGCACCGGCCCTCCCAAACCAAAAGCCTCTGGAAAGATGTCATATGGACGTAACGTGAAATTTGATGGGGGGGCCTTTGGTGCACATCATTTAGGTGGGGAGTCATGTCCACCCAAATTCAGATGACACATCGAGGTTGGCCCAACCCGCGCTCGCCCGCCAAACGCGCCTGCTCGGTTTTGGGTCGGCCCGGAGGATCTAAAAAACCTAGACCTTCGTGGCTGGACTGAAAACCTGCGCTGAGACGTCGCAACACCACGAGATCTAACCCGCGAGGGCTGGATCGCCAGCCCTAGCACGGTGGCGCAGCGACGTGGCGACGTGGCGACGTGGCGACATGGCGACGTGGCAACGTGGCAACGTGGCGACGTGGAGACACGCCGGCCACTGCAACAGCTGGCGGCCCTCGCACTTTTTGTCTCTCAACTTGCCATGGTCACAGCGCCACTTTGGGCGTGGGCAGCTTGCGGTAGGCGCAACACGCCAGACCTTTAACTGGGATTTTGATTCCTCAACCACTCAAACGAAACATCCCAAGTAGCTCGCATCAAGATGCACTCCCGTTGTCCCTAAGGCCTCAGGGTCAATGGCTCACCTCCTCTCCCGGATCCTGGCGCTTCAAGATGGAGGGGTGAGCGGGCTGCTTGTCTTTTGCCAGTCGTGGCTAAACACATCTCCGTGTTGTGCATGTGCTGTTCTTGCTTCTTGGTCTTTTGCTCCGAGGCTGCGAAGAGCAAGGCTCGCCCTTTTACGGAATAAAGTGTTCTGCTCAAGCCATCCCCTGATGTTCAGTTTCTTGCTTGTTGAGACGGATTCGTAAACGCACGGATCATGTTCCAAGGCTTTGAGCTGTGGATCTTCAAAAACATCAACAAGTGGAGCTGTAAGGAGTTCAACTAGGGTTGCTCCAAAAGGATCCTGATGGTGGAGGGCCCCGTATTGCTTCCTCTTGAACAATTTACATTTCAAGACTTGGTTGCTGTTGACCCCTGCAAAAAGCTTGGCTTTTTTGGGGGGGTTAGTGGAAACACCATTATTTCCCAAACAGTTAAAGTCTAAAAGCCCAACCCAATAGCAGTCAAGAAATGCTTCATCTTTTGAACATCACCGTGGGTATGTCTCCTTTGGAGACTCGGCACCCTCGGCGATACAGCCAAAGGATACCATTGCGATGGGTCGACGTTTAGAAGCCCATGCGTCTTGCTCATCTCTTCCTTTGTTGCATGATCGAAGGAGCATGTAACGCTTCGATGACTCAAAGATCACTCGCACCCTGACAACATTCCGAAAAAGAAAAAGAAAAGTGACTCAACACCAGAGGGATGGAGGCACCCCTGGTTCAAATACTAGGGAAGACCACTGCTTGGTCTTAAAAACATGACTCAACAAAATTTCAGAATGTTGCATTCGCAAATTTCGTGCGTCCCTAAACCCTAAAACTGCAGCCAAGCCGTTGGGTCCGAAGCTAAGATCCAACACCCCCCCCCTTTTGGAATCCCAAGAAACCGCAAGCCTGAGCCGAGCCCCTTTGACCCCAGGAAGGAACTCTGAGAAACCGACAACACCAGGAACCCTGAAGCCCCGAGGCAACCCTGAGGCAATGCCCGGAACCACCCCAATTTTGGAGAACTGTCAACCGTCAACCCATAAGAAACCCTAAACCATCAGGAATCCCAAGGAACCAGTGTGTTTTGTTAAATTTCTGGAGTTCCCCCTTGTCCTCCTCAAACCAACACCAATGCTGCCGGCGACTCATGTAACCCGACCCAGCCTCGCTCCTTTTGCGCTTGCCCGACGCCGGCTCCGCCTGCAATGGGTCGCCCTGAATGGGTTCTGATGAATGAACCACGGCCAAGCTTCGTTGTGCTCCCAGAAATTTGACCAGTACCCACGTGCATTTACATGTGATCTCGCCAAAGGCCACAAATCCAGGAATTTGCATATAACGAACCCCAAAAAAAGACACAGACACCCACAGCCCACACCAGCCGTCTTTCTTTTGAGCTCCGCTGGCCGAACTGGCAAAAGCTTAGAACTCCGCAACACCAACCGGCTCGATCCACGTCGATCGTGGATCCACCTGCATGAAGGCCAGGCCCGCCATGGCCCCTGACATCGCGGACTCCGAGGGCTCCTCACCGGCGGGGAGTTTGTTGAGCCGCGGGGAGAGAGTTTCTCTTCACCGGAGAGACGCCCTTAACAGAAAAAAGGGGGGGGGGGGGGGAAGATGGATCCACGAAATGAAGCCATGGCTAAAACCATTGCTGCTGGGATTTACAGGGGATTCATCATTCCAGGGTTTCCTTTGGGTGGTGCAGGATACACAGTAGGCCGCGCATTTATATATATGTATATATATGTATATATGTTCCAGGCCGTGGACCGTGGGGTGGGTGGTGGGGTGGTGGTGGTGGGGTGGTTGGGTGGTTGGGTGGTTGGGTGGTTGGGTGGTTGGGTGGTTGGGTGGTTGGGTGGTTGGGTGGTTGGGTGGTTGGGTGGTTGGGTGGTTGGGTTGGTTGGGGGGTGGTTCGGAGTTGGTTTAGGCTTGGTGGGTTGGTTTGGGGTTGGTTGAGGGTTGGTTTGCGGTGGGTTTCGGGTGGGTTTGGGGTTTGGGTTGATTTAGGCTTAGGGTTGGGGTTAAGGAGGGGTTGCAGGGTGGTTTGGTTTAGGGTAGGATGTTGCGAGAGGTGCGGGGGTGTTGGTTCACGGGGTGAAAGGGGGAGTCTGGGACCGAAGCTGCAGGGCTCACACGGTACTGGACATCATCCCCAGCATTGCCAGCATCATCCCCAAGATGCGGATGATGCGGGGGAGTGGGGGGACCATACCATTGGGGGGGGGGGGTACGTGGCCCAGGGACTGGTACATATATATCATAAGTATGATATTGGGTGACCCGTTGAATGGCCTCATTGACAATGGGTCTCAGGATGCTACACCCATCATTGCCGTGTGCAATCTGGAACCCGCCGTCCGCTGCGCCCAGATGCGCCCAGATGCGCCCAAATGCGTCCAATTGGGGGAACCATGGAATTTCAGCTACGCCCTTGCGTGAACAACTAGGAGATACAAAAGTCGGGAAAGCCAATGGAACAAATACATTGTGGGCTTTCTGTTGTCCTGGAGACTCCTGGCAAAGGGATCACACATCCCATTCACCCTCCCGGGGATCATTGCCAACCTGCCCTGGAACCTAGGGAAGCAAACGAAGTGGCGGATCAACCCCTGCAGTTAAGGAGAAGGGGAGGGGTCCTTTGGATGGTGTTTTCAGGGACGACACCAACAGGAACCCCCGGAAATCCTCAAGCTGCGAGTTGCGCCGGCCTGACCCCCACGCCCATATTCTATTTACCTACTCTCAGCCACCCATGCTCTCCTCTCACCCGGATTCCACTCAGATCCTACCCAGATCTCGAGTATCCATGGCGAGCCTCCAAAAGGTTCAGACCAATTTTGCCCCCAACTTCGGTTTCCCTCACCCAGTGGATCCATGTAGCGGTACAGCAGGTAACTAAGGGAACCACCCAATAGGAAAACCTAGAGGAACATAGCCGGTTACCTACTGTGGTGGCTTGCATGGGATGCATGGGAATGTCTTATCTTTGTGATCCCCCCAAAATGGTTGTTTTCCTCAAAAAATGCCACAGACCCAAATAACGCTTCGCCCGAAACCCGCACCGGCCTGATTCGCCTCCTGCGCTGCGCTGGCCGCTTGCTCCCCGTGGGCGATGACCTTCGCCCAGTGGGGCGCCGGGGTCACAGAGTTGTCCGGCTTCTCTGCGTCCTGGTGCTTTTTGTTTAGCTGAGTGCAACTCATGTCAAGCAGCCGAAATAGTCGGTCACGGATGGCCAAGCAGCCAGAATCCTAACTGGAAAAGGAACTGGGGTTGGACCCGAAGACTTGGAATCCCAAATAGAATGGGATGGAGCCATGGGTTTTTGGGCTTTGGAAGACTTGGAAAACAAAGGATCCAGAATCGTGATACCTTTCTTGGGTAAGGGAACCCGAGGGGGAAATCGGGAAAAAACACCTCGGAATTCTGTGAATGGGACTTTGTTTCCCTTTGCCTTATCTTCCAGCTTCAAACGGATAGCTCCAGAAAACCAGACTCAGGCCGAAACCCAAAACCCTGTGACTTCGTGAACGGGGTCGCCTTTCCCAGGAAGCCTCTTCAGAAGCCAGGCTCTTCAGAAGGCCAAGTCTGACCAGAAAAACCTCTGAATCCCAATGACGAATCTTGGCCCAACTCTGGAAGTACAAAGAAACATAGATAACTTCGGCTGACAAATTCCAGGATTCTGTGCTCCTCTTCCCTAAACCACAAAACCAAAAGGGACCTTCCGACTGGCCAAAGGCTGCGCTCTCACTTTTGCAACCCAAAGGCCTGAAAGGCGTTGCGAGGCTCCTTGTATCCTTCAAGCCAAAAAGGCTCCAAGAGATTGGCCACAGATGGAAGAGGGGCGCCAAAGCCAACCACCTGCGCCAAAGCCAAGACATGTGGAGCTTCCACCTTTGCAACTTCAACATGGTTCTCTAGAAACCCCTCAAATACTAACAAACGGGATCTTACGATTTGGCGGAAAAAGCTAATCTGATCGCCCAAAAGGCAAGTAGCCTGTCCTTCGGGTAGAGCCTGTAGAAAAGGCTCGTCATAGCCTGCGCCGGCAAGAAAGGGGTATAGATCAATGCTTTGAGGGCCATCATATGCTCCACCACTATTGCGCCAGTTACCTGGGGAAATCCTCCAGGGCAAAATGACATCGGAAGCGTGCAAGGACACAAAAAAGGTTTGGGGGAACGTGGCGGAAGGTCAATAGTGCCATTTACCCCTGGAAAGCGGAAGGGCGTAGCAGGAAGTAGGATATGTGCCAAGGTTCTGGACCAGCGGCTCAGTCATTTTGCGCTTTACACAGGCGCCAGAAGTGTGCAACACGACGGCAAAGAACTGCCCGGCCCTCATTGCCTGAAGAATGGCGCGTGACCATGTCACCCCCACCCCACCCCACCCGTTTTTGGGGGGGAGCATTGGACTTGTTGCGACACCTCGACCCATGTCCGATTGTCTCACAAGGACAAGGGCAGCCCCCTGCCAGCAGCCGCTAAGGTCCAAGCTGAAATGGTTGGGCACCAGGCGCCGGCCGAGAAGGGAAAGGAGTCGAGTTCCCGAGACAAGACGGGGTTGAAACGTGCAACAGGTTGGCCGAACCCTTGACGTGTGATGCTGTTGAGGCCGCGTGACCTGTGTCGATCCAGGTCTTTGAAGGGTTCCCAGTCTCTTTGGGTGTGCGAATCGGGAGAACCCGATTCACTGGATGGAAAACTCTACCCCGCTTTCTGGCAACATAACTATGCATATCTGACTTGTATATATTGGAGGGAGTGGGGTACGTCCTGCGCGGCCGACAAGCCTTGCCAATGCATTGCATTCGCTCAGTCCTCCAAACTGCTCGAGCCAGTTCCAAGAGGGGTTGACACTATCCAAACCTGTTCCCCCCAAAAAATGAGATTGCAGCCCAACAAAGGCTGCCGGCGCTGTTTTTGTCCAACCATTTTTTTCTTCTGTGGTACTAGCAGAAGGCTCCGCACGATGATATTCAAGCTCGTTCTGGCGATGCCACTTCTATTTCATGTCCCCCAGGGCGGGCAAGCTGCGAGTCTGAAGGTTTCAGGTGTTGGTCAAGGGGTCAACCGGGCTTTGGCTTATCCAGTTCGAACCCAGCCCTATCTGTTCCTCTGGTTGAGATAGGCCTTCGTAACGGGAAAGCCAAGGCTTCGTAGATTGGAGATTCAAAATCTTGGCAGAGTCTAGGGCTTCAGAAGTATTCAGGGCAAACCCAGGCGCAGATCTTGTCTGGCGTTGGGCGATTCTTGGCCGTTGGCAGTCCAGTATCGGATCGGCGAAACATCTGCAAACCACATTTGCTCCACCAACCTGGATCGCCAAGTTGCCTTCGCTTTTTGTCCAGACGCTTGACCCAAAAAAACAGCCGCAGTTGCTGGGAAAAAAGCGATTCGCAACTGGCCATCCAGGAACCGGCCAAGCAGACTCTTGCACTGGTGCCACCCCGAACATCCGGGCGCCCACATCTTCATGTCTGCCAACCACTTGAGCTTGGTGGCTCCCTAGGAAATTCCCTTGCCATCTGGGTCCATTCCAAAGTGCCTCGATTGCCTTTCCGCTTTGGAAATCGGCCTCAATTTCAAAGCCCTTGCAAATGCAGGATGGGACCGCGATCGAATTTGTCTTCCCTTGAGGTACAACTTGGGCTTGAAGGGGGGCATATTTCGATTACTCTGTGACAGGAATGGGATTGAATGGGATGGTACGGCGAACAAGCAACTGACGGCAGCTAGAATCTTTTGCTCCCCGCCCCATTTCCACTGTCGACGCCCACATGCTGCGTCCGCAGCCAGATGTGACACACAGAAATGCTCTCCTGAACACTCCATGGAACCCCAAAAAACAAGCAGGGGCCAAGAAGACTTCCCTCTACTTTAACGATTTTCAGGAGAGTAGGGGGCTGCAAACTTCATGCCTATTGCCAATACACATTCGCGAAGTCACCGGCTCACATCATCCGGCTGGCTCGGATCCTTGCAGAAACTTCTCGGCAAGCACACCGATCACCGACTTGAGAAACGCGCCTCAAAATCCTCTGTTTTTGTTTTTGTGGGACCTCACACCTTCGAAGTTGTGGGGAATTCTTATGCAGGTTATCTTAGGCCTGAAGCCTCCTGTACCCGAAACCCTAAGAGAGAGGACCTCAAAGGAAACCAAGGTCCGTGGCTCGCGATCGAAATCCCCGCGGACGCCCTGCCTGACCCTCGGCAGACTGACTCGGAGAGGAGTCCTGCACTTTGCACCAAAAAAAAAAGCAGCGCCCCAACGCAGTGCAGCAGGGGTGGTGGGCCCACTTCCGTGATGCCATCTCCACAAGGGAAAAAACACCTAAAGACATCACTGAGCTTAAAAACAACTTGACAACAATGGCAAATCTGGGATATCTTTTCCGAGGGCACCCTTGGTGTTCCTTAGGGAGGACTGCGAAGCCAATGAGTCGAAATCTGATTTGTTCTCCGAGTCAAGAAGTCTGGCCCAAAGGTATGACAAATTGAAATCCTGACCCCAGTTCGAAGTTCCCGTCGGTTTCGAGGAAGCGTATGTTGGAGCTGGGCATGCCCTTTCCCGCTTTTGGGGACAAGACCTACACCCCTAAAAAACATCCCCCAGCATTCACATTTTCTGCTAACAGGCTTGGGATATGTTGACACAAGCAAACCGCACCCTTGACCCAAGAAACGAACCTAAGATTCTGGGTGAATTATAATATTTCACCAACCTGAAATAAGGTGGTTGGGGGGCTATTCCCCACCTAAACCACTATTTGGGGTGAGTTCCGTCGTGTGAGGTCGTTATAACATTCACATTTTCAGGTAACAGGCTTGGGATGTGAACTGACACAAGCAAACCGCACCCTTGACCCAAAAAACGAACCTAAGATTGGTACCCTCCAAATCCCCCCAGAAAGCGAGCGATCGACGCCCCTCGCGCGACCTTCGACCTCGCTCCTCCATCCTCCTCAGCCGCCGCCTCTTTGGCTCTGCCTGCGGCGCTTCGGGATCCGCCCACCGTGACTAAACATGGAACCTCACGTCCTGGACGTCCCTTTAAAGGAACATGGAGCCAATCCAGGACCATGTCCCCGAGCGTCGGACGGTTCCGTGCGTTGATGGGAGGCTAAACTATCCACCCTCCCCTCTAAACATCATGAAGCTCACAAGAGGGTGTTGGAAGACCGATTTCTTTTGGGGGAAGCGGGTAGCCTCGATGATTCTTGGAAAGAGGGTAGGTGGATTGTGCCCATCCACAGTACGGATGTTTTTTTTTCCCAGAGTTGGCGGTCATTGTGCAGATGGGGGGGGGGGGGGTGACTCTGTTCTTTCAGGAATTCAAGGGAAACCACAGATACCAATCTCATCAGAAACTGGCGTGTATGTTCATGGTCTACCTCAAACCATGTAAAGCAACAATAACATGCTTCTGCTTGGGACTATCCCTAATCCTCATCCGGGAGGAAGTCAAGGGCTCCTTGCCCCAGTTGGCCCTGCAACTTTTCTCGGAAGGGAAAACCGCTCACGAGTGGTGCCGCGTCAGTGGATAAGTTGCAAACCCAACCCCACAGAATGGGGACTTGCCTGGGACTATGCCACTTGCTATTCTTGGCAAACCCCCTTCAAGCTTGCCCATAATGAAAACTCCAGACACCAACAACAATTAGAAAACCAAACAGCATGGGTTGGCGTGAGAAAAAACTAACAATCCTGGCAAACCCGTTCATTCTTGTTCAAGCCGACCGACTTGTTTGTGAGACATAAAACATCTAAAACCAATCGGGTGAGCAAGGGAAAAACGAACGGGGTGCTCCGTAGACTTGCTGGTTCTCGTCAGGGACCCTATAAAAAACCATCCCACTGGTGGTGTCCTTTATTCCGAGGTCCCCAAAACTAATTCCTTCCCACATTCCCAGGTCATTCCTAACAAGTGGATATGGGAAAAAAGAAAGGATCCCGACCAATCCCGGCCAAACCAAGGTCCGCCCATTTGCTTCAACCCCATATTTGTTGACCTCCCACTTAAACTTGAACCCAGTGGTTGAGTCCCCCAAAGGCAACATTCCTGGGTTTAAGTCTACCTGGACGCAGTCCAAAGATGGAACCCTGCAGTGGGAACTTAGTGCAAGAAACCCATCCTTTGCGCGAGCCCCCGGTCGGTGTCCGCCTTTGGCTTCGGCTCCGGCTTCGGCTCGGACCAGGGGCTCTCGCCCGGCGAGGGCGAGACCTGTCGCGCGAATTTCGGGCGGTTTTCGGAACCCGAGCGCGCGGAACCCGGGTGGGGCTAGGGGCATAGGTGCCCTTTTCGGGAAAAATCGATGGCCCTGGTAGTTGCTCCAGTGGTTCAGACAATGAAACCAGGAATCGCCCTCTATTTTTTCGAGCAAATCAACAACAACAAAAGGGTGTATGGGGCTATCCCTCGTAAACCCCTGAAGGCCTTAGTAGGGGCCTATGCTTATCCAACCAGCGGAAGCCTGGAAATCTATAAGGCGTCTAACCAACCCCCGAAAGGTTCGTCAAGGCCGGGAATTCTACGAGATACTAGCCCAACATGTTGACCAAGGTCCCCCAACAAATGGTCATTGTCCAAGACAAAAATACCTCTGCGGGGCTTCCAAACAACCCCCCCCCCCCAGGGTTCATGGAAGCCTGGAATTCACAAGATAGCCAAACACCCGGAAAAAGAGGTCGTTTGGAATTCACGAGACACTAGCCAAACATTTGCTTGGGTTTTGCCAATGTTTCCCCAAAAAATGTCATTTTCCAAAAAGTTGGGCTCCCAACAACAAAAGAGGGCAGTTGTGAATTTCAATGAACCTCCTGGCGGCTTCAAGCGAAGAATCCGGCCAGTGATTGGGGATTGGGCACAAGTCCTTCCCAGGCGCAAACAGTTGCCTTGCCGCCGAAAGCACTCATCTCATTTTCCAAAGGTCCAAGCTCGAACCTTACGTCAAGCAAGGAACACGGAAAACAGCCCCAACGATGCTGCAACCCGTGGCCGATTCTGGCCGGTGAAAGGGAACCATGGGGAAACAGAGGGAACCAGACAAAAACATAGAAAAACCAATGGAAACCAAGCCACACTTGGGGTGAAATTGTTTATCGTGCCCGTCCTGGTAAGTTGGCAAGTACACGGAATCTATATGTGTGGCCTGTGGCATCAACTCATCTCCTCTCCCGGAGTACGTCCCTACTTACGCCCCAAGCAGCAGCCCATCTTGCAATCCCCGGCCCGCCTCTCTTCTGCGCTTGCCCGGCGACGCGAC